GCAGCAGCACAGTGTGCAGCGCCCCGCTGCAGGCCCTCACGACCTGCATTTGCTGCTGCTGCTGCTGCTGCTGCAGCGGGATGGGGCGCGGCAACGTGACCTCGCCGCCGCCCTCTTCCTCGGGATTGAAAAAAGGAATTTGCTCAAGTTCTCCAGAACCAAACATGTAGACAAGGCCAGTAGGCTGGCCTTTGGCGAAGTCCGGAGAAGCCAAACAAGTTGCTGCTTCCTGCTGCTGCTGCTGGCGTACCAGCTCGCGCTGCTGCTGGTGCTGCTGCTCCTCTTGCTGCTCCGCCGACTCGGCAGCAGCAGCAGATGGCGCGCTGAACACAAACCCCTTCAGCTGCTGCTGCTGCTGCTCCTGCTCCCCAGCAGGTCTTCCAAAAACAAAGCCCTTCGGCTTGTGGGGCTGCTGCTGCTGCAGCTGCTGCTGCTGCTGGCTTGCCAGCGGGGAGGCTGCAGCAGCACCGTCAAGCACCGGCATGAATCCCGAACTCTTTCTGGGCCCTCCCGAAGCAGCAGCAGATGTTCCATTTCCTGCTGCTTCTAGGAATACCGAGCTGCAGCCGTTGCTGCTTCTGGGAAAAGCCGCAGTCCTGGGGGCCTGCTGCACTAGTAGCAGCAGCACACAGCAGCAGCAGCAGCAACAGCAGCAGCAGCCCTATCTAAGCCCAGCCACTCCCTCTGCTTCGTGCAGCTCCCGCAGCAGCTAGCAAAGGTACCCCCTTTCCCCACAAACGACACAAAAGGGACCACGGCTATTTTGCTGCTGCTGCTGTTGCTGCTGCTGTTGCTGCTGCTGTTGCTGCTGCTGCTGCTGCTCACTGTCTTTCCATCTCTTCCTGTCTCGCAGCAGGGACACACATCACAGGTGGCCTCGTTGGAGACCAAGCAGACGCTACACTTCCATGGGCCGGAAGGTGGCGCCCCATTAGCTGCTGCTGCTGCTGCTGTTGCTGCTGCGTCAGCTGCCTCGGCGCCTGCTGCTGCTGGCAAACCCTCAGCAGCCGCCGCTGCTGCACCTGCTGCAGCTGCCGAGGCCCCGTTTGTGGGCGGTTCGGGCTCTGCGCCCGTGGCCGCAGCAGTAGAGGCGTCCATTCTGCTGCTGCTGCTGCTGCTGCACTTTCTGCTGCTGTTCCTACAAGTGCTGCCGCTGGTCTTTGGCTCAGGCAACGCAAATCCCGCTTTGGACGCAACGTGTGTTGTTGCTGCGGAGGGGCAGTGCTTTTGCTGCTCCCTCTGCAGCTCCCGTGATGGAGTCTGGCTGAGCAGCTGCTGCTGCTGCCAAGGCTTTGAGTGCAGCAACAGATTCCTGCTGCTGCTGCAACAAAAGATAAATGGGGCCCCTAGACGCGCGCGAGGAGGCCCAAGAGACTGCAGTGGGTCAGCAGCAGTGCCAAAGCCGCTGGATTTCAGCCCGTTACTGCTGCTGCAGCAGCAGATATGTGCACTGTCTGCAGTGTACGTACACCTCTACAATTCGTAATGGATCAGGCCGGAATCGGCGCCGTTCGGAATTATATAGGAAGCCCTGGTGGTGTTGCTGCAGTGACTGTTGCTGCTGCTGCTGCTGCTGCGGGGTGGGTGGCGGGCCAACTGCTGCTGCAAGTAGAGGCCTAAGCGGCGTCTTTGTGTGTTTAAATTCGAATATTCGTCGAAAATTCAATTATGGTTTGACTGGCTTTTGACGCAAAGACACGAGAAACCCGACAGACTTCGAGCAGCACGAGGAACTGGAAACCCTAAACCCTCAGCTCCGCAGCTGGTGGATTCAAATCGAGGCTAGTGGACTCCAGTGTCTGTACACGTGGGAGTGCCAAGTTGCTGTTGGTGTTCTTTCCTCTATTTGCCGAAATTCACTTTTATTCCAATCTCGAGAATTTCACGGAGCCCTTCCGCAGGACCCCTGCTGCGGTGGAGTGACACCGCAGCAGCTACACACCACTGCAGCTGCAGCAGCAGCAGCAGCAAACGCACACCTGAAGTTTGACCGCCTGCTGCAGCTCAGCAGCAGCATCTGTGGGAGCAGAAGCCGCAAGTGCACGGCGGTTCGGGTGTACGTACACTAGCGCATTTCACAGGCAACTCTGCAGAGCTGAGCCCAGGGGAGTACTTCTGCTGTAGTGCAGCAGCAGCAGCAGCAGCAGCAGCAGCAGAAGCACCAACAACGCTGCAGCACACCTGACCTGCACACGTAGCAGCAGTACTTTAGTGGCCTTTTGATGAGTTAGAAAGGCCTTTTGAGTTTCAGCAAATGCAAACAGCCAAATAGCCTCTGTAAAGGGGCCCCTGGGGGCAGCAGGCTGCTGCTTTTGCTGCTGCAGCTGCAGGGGCAGCAGCAGCACAACCTGCTACTGCAGCCTTGTCTGCTGGGAGCCTTGGGGGGCTCCCCTGGCCTTCCCCTGAGCCTGCGGGGGCCCCACAGACCTTAAAAGCACTTTTATAAAATGGGGAAACTGTCTTTGACAAAGTGCATGCAAAGAGCTTGTCGAGTGCATCTTTTTGCGAATGGATTTCTTTTAAATGGACTTCTTTGTGGCTCCTGGCGCATGCACAGGTGCAGGCAGCAGCTATTTGCATGCATGCAGCTGCTGCAGTTTGCATTTGTCTTTCTTTGGGAAATCCCCACATGCAATAAATACCATTTGATTCGCTTTCGCTTCTTTTGCTCAGCCCCGGGCTGGCAAAAGACGCCCTCGGAAACGAACAAAAACTTGAAATGCGTGCGCATGCATTTCAAGCACGCATGCATTCCATTCATGTGCCTCATGCATGCGCATGCACGCGGCTCCCGCGTGGCGGAAAAGCCCCGAAGTTTCGCGCTGCTGCTGCTGCTTCTGCTGCTGCTGGCTGAGTGCAGCAGCAGAGATTTGCTTCTGGCGAATTTGGTCAAATTGTGCAGCTGGGAATTGCGCGAAACGCTGCTCCTGAATAAAAAAGAATTCAGAATATTTCAATTAGCCAAACAAATCCCAAGAAAGAAAAAAATAAAATAAAATAATTCCCCAAAAAATAATTCTGCCCTCACTAGAGGATATTTGAAATTTGCTGCTGCTGGCCCCGGGAAGCTGTTTCAAATGCACTTCTTAAAGATATTAAAATTAAATTAAATGAAAATAAAACAAAAAATGAAAATTCAATTTTCCGAAATTTCACATTTGCCAGCTCAGATAGCCACGTGGCTGCACGAGCTTGCTGCTGCAGTTAGCGCCGCTGCTGCTGCTGCTGTTGTACCTGTTGGAGCTGCTGCTGCTGTTGCTGCTGCTGCTGCTGCACCAGTTGGCGCTGCTGCTGCTGCTGCCGCAGTTGGCGCTGCCGCTGTTGCTGCTGCTGCTGCTTCGGCACCTTGCAGTTGTTGCTGCTGGCGGCGCTGCAGGCGTTGCTGCCGCTGCATGCGGCTTCCGGGAGTTGTGCTGTTGCCACCCTTGGTTTGCTGCTTCCTGTTAGGAAGCAGCTTGCTGCAGCTTAGCCTCTTAGCTTTGCTGCAGGGGCGCGGCGCTGCAGCTGCTGCTGCATCCAGCAGCGCATGCGCAGGTCCAATAGGTTCTTTCTACTCGACTCAGAGTGGTTTGCAGCAACGCAGCAGCAGCGTAGCAGCGGCGCAGCAGCGGCGCAGCAGCACCGCAGCAGCAGCGGGGAAGCCGCCCCACAGGTGCCGGCATTTAGGTGCTGTGCTGCTGCTGCTGCTGCTGCTGCTGCTGTGTGTGCAGAGCACGCGCTGCCCGAAAGGAACCTCACCACTAGCTCTTAAAGCTGCGCAGCTACTTGCTGCTGCTGCTGCTGCTGCTGCTGCTGACCCAGGGTAGCGCTTGCTCAGCAGCAAAAGGTAGCGCCAGTCTGCTTGTTAGTTTTGCAGACATGAGGCAGCTAATTAGAGCTAGCCTGCGCCGCAAACGAGCAGCACTGTGCAGCTAGCCAGACCTTAGGCACCAGCTAGCCACCAGCTAGCCAGGCCTTAGCCCCCAGCTAGCCAGGCCTTAGCCTCCAACTAGCCAGGCCTTTGCCTCCAGCTAGCCAGGCCCCAGCTAGCCAGGCCTTAGCCCCCAGCTAGCCAGGCATTGGCCACCAGCTAGCCACGCCCTAGCCCCCAGCTAGCCAGGCGTTGCCCCCAGCTAGCCAGGCCTTTGCCCCCAGCTAGCCAGACCTTTGCCCCCAGCTAGCCAGGCTTTAGCTCCCAGCTAGCCAAGCTTTGCTGCTCAGCGCAGAGCAAAAAGGAAAATGGATTCAAGATGGCTTCTTGTGTAGCTACACCACCAAAGATGTTCCTGCTGCATATCCAGCAGCAAAAGCAGCAGCAGCAGCTGCTGCTGGTGCTGGTGCTGCTGCTGCTGCTCTTGTCAGTGCTTGCGCTGATGCTGCTGCAGCTGCTGCTGTGGAAGCCAGCCAGCCAACATAGAGGGCTCACCAGCGATTCTGAGCGCAGCAGCTCGTGCCGCTGCTTCTGCTGCTACTGCAGTTGCTGCTGCTCTGACGCGTGCTGCTGCTGCTGCTGCTGCAGCACAAAAGCGAGCGACTGGCCTGGTGGGGAGGCGCGGCACTGCGAAAGCAGCAGCAGAAGCTTCTGCTTCTCATCGCAGTCCTGCAGTTTGTGTGCCACATCCTGGAGACAGCCGCAGCAGCAGCAGCAGCAAAGGCAGCATTACAGACGCAGGAGCCGATAAATGAAGGAGCAGCAGCAGCGGCAGCATTGCAAATGCAGGAACCGAGAGGTGCAGCAGCAGCAGCAGCGGCAGCAGCAAGAGTAAGCCTACGAGCCAGTAAGCCCACCTCCCTGACCAACCCGACAACAGCTGCACTGGTGCTTTCAGCAGCAGCAGTTCCACCAGCAGCAGCAGCAGTTCCGCTAGCAGCAGCAGCAGTGCCGCCAGCAGCAGCAGTGCCACCAGCAGCAGCAGCAGCAGCAGCAGCAGCAGAACTGCCCAGAACTTGGCTGCTTACCTCTACGCGCTGCAGCAGCTGCTTCAGCCTCAAATTTTCCCCTTGGTGAGTCGCCACCAGTGTTCTTTCTTTAAGTACCCTGAGTTGCAGCAGCAGCAGCAGCAGCAGCAGGGGATTCATCAGCAGCAGCTGCAGCAGCAGCTGCAGCAAGGTGCATAGGCTGCTGCCTCTGCCTCCCTTGCATCTCCCTGGGGTGCTGTGGTGCTGCTGCCTCCCCAGGCAATTTTAGAGCTTAGGGTTTAGGGTTTAGTGTTTGGGGTTTAGGGTTTAGGGTTTAGGGTTCAGGGTTTATAGGTGTCGCTCTGCGCAGCTCTTTTCTGCAATTGTTTGCTTCTCTGGCAGCTCTTCCGCGGAGCCTCATTTTAGCAAATGGATTAATCATTTTAATTAAAATAATTATAATTTGATTTTAAAATATTCTTTTTTCAGTTTAAATTCTTTCTTAAATGAAGTTTAAACTCACCACTCATAAAGCTGCTTTTCAAGTTTCAGAATTTCGCGTTTGTACTGCCGCACAGCTTCGCCATAAGTTTGCAGCAGCAAAGCACAAAAGGAACAAGAGGCTGAAGGGAATTCTGCCTTTTGCTGGAGCTGCTGCTGCAGCTGCTGCTGCAGCTGCTGCTGCAGCTGCAGTGTGTCGCCCTGCTGCAGTCGCTGGGGTACCTGGTGGAGCTGCTGCTGCTGCTGCTGCTGCACTTGCTGGCTCTTCAAACTGCCCGCCATATTTTGCTGTCTTTCTTGCTGCTGCTGCAGCAGCTGGGGATCCTGCTGTTGCTGATGCCAACGAAGCTGCTGCCCTTGCTGCAGCTGCTGCAGCGCGGGATGCTGCTGTTGCTGCCGCAAATGAATGTGCCCTTGCTGCAGTTGCTGCTGCTGCTGCTGCTGCCGCTGCTGCTTCAGCAGCTCTGACCACGACAGAGAGCTCTGGCTTGAAAGAATAGGTCCCTCATGCGGCACTTGATGAATAGTGGCAGCTGGTTGCTGCTGCTGTTGCTGCTGTTGCCGCTGTTCTCGCTGCTGCTGTTGTTGCTGCTGCTGCTGCTGTTGTTGCTGCTGCTGTAGTAGTCGCCCTTGCTCTTGTTCTCCTCGCTGCTCTTCGTCCCTTTGCTGCTGCTGCTGCTGCAGGGAAAGGAAGCTTCTCCGCATCTGCAGCAGTCGTTGTGGCACCTCAAACCGTTGCGGTTGCTGCTGCTGCTTTTGTTGCTGCTGCTGCTGCATTTGCTGCTCTTGCTGCTGAAGCTGTTGTTGCTGTAGATGCTCATGTGCCGCTTGAGGTGCTGGGCCGGGCAGCTTCTGAGCAAACTGCTGCAGCATCTGCTGCTGCTGAGGCTGGTGCCCCTGCTGCAGCTGGTTTTGCTGCTGCAGCGCTTGCTGCTGCAGCAGCTGAAGCTGCGCATTCTGGAGAGATTGCTGCTGCTGATGCTGCAGCAGCTCCTGCTGCACCAGAGTCTGAGGCTGCGTACTCTGCTGCCACATAGGGCGAGTCTGACTTCGCTGTTGCTGCTGCTGGAGGGGGCGCTGCTGCTGCTGCTGGTACAGGCTTTGCTGCTGCTGCTCTATTAGAGGCGGCTCAGCTTGCTGCAGCTGCTGCTGCTGCAACTGAGCCAGAGATGCCAGGACTTGCTGTTGGTGGAAACTGTCCTGCTGCTGCTGCTGCATAGGCTGTGGGAGCAGAGGCAGCTGCTGATGCAGCTTCTGCACTTGCTGATGCGTAGGCAGGTGCTGCTGCTGCTGCCATTGTTGCTGCTGCAGCGCATTTTGCTGCAGCTGCTGCTGCAGAGCTGGCTGCAGCTCTTGAGCCTTCTGCTGCTGCTCCTCCTGCGGCTGCGGCTCGACGCTCACATCTTGCAGCGGTTGCGTCTGCTGCTGCTGGGCGTGCTGCTGCAGTGCTTGCTGCAGTTGCTGCTGCTCTTCGTGTTGCAGTTGCTGCTGCCCCTCGTGCTGCAGCTGCTGCTTTAGCTGCTCATTTTCCTCGCAGCCGGCGTTCATTGCAGCGCCTGAAGAGCGTAGAAGGGGCGGCAGCTGCAGCAGCTGCTGGTGCTTTTCCTGCTGCTGCTGCTGCAGTTCCTGGTGTTGCGACTGCTGCTGCTGCACTTGCTGCAGGCGCTGCTGCTGCTGAAGAAATACTTGCCGCGCTTGGGGGCCCCCCAAAGATGTGGACTTCTTTGTCTCCTCTGCAGACACAGCAGCAAAAGATGCATTTAACATTTACCCAAAAGCTTCTTTCCCGCAGCAGCAGCAAATTGGCAAGCCTGG